AATAAAATCAACTGATGGTAAAGACTGGAAACATCACCGAAACATCACCTCAGTCTGTCTCTCTCTCTCTCTCTCTCTCTCTCTCTCTCTCTCTCTCATTTTCCTATCCCATATAAGTTTCCTGGTAGTGCACTTTGTCAGTCTTTTCTCTTGCTCTTTTCTCCTGCTCACTCCACTACACAAGCCCAGTTATAACCTATATTTTGAAGTCTTCCGTTGTTTATTTTGGAAACTCTAAAGGAGTACAAAATCTCTTCATCTTCCCACACACACCACTTCCCACTGTAAGCAGACACTCTGAGTGAGTGATTTTCTCAGTAAATAATGTCATGAGGCACGCTTCCACTTTTCTAAGTGGTTCTTTCCCACATAACCAGTGACCTCATTGGTTGTATTTTCCCTTTTCTAATAGCCTAGTGGGCATTCTTTTCTTTGTGGGATGCCACATCATCTAACAGATAAACCAGGTTTCCCTAAAATAGATGCTCCTTGGACTTCTCATCTAGCTGTCTAAAAACAAATGAAAAAGAGTCAATGCAAATAAACAGTATTTAGTTTAAATATAAAGTTAGTAGATAAAAGGAACTGGGGTGAATAGTGCATGAGTTCAGTATGAAAGAAAGCCTGGGTTACATATATAGATTAATGTATATCCCACAAACCCCAATTCCAGTGAGAATAAAGAAACAGAAAGGCTTATAAGAAAAAAGAAATCATGAGAGACTTTTGGAAGATGTATCTTCCTGTATCACAAAAGGAATGATCTTCCTAAGAGTGTTGGCCTTGGTGATATGAACATTCTTGCTTCATTGATCACATGCCACTGTAGCTACTTGTCACATAAAGGCAGGTACCTGGCTAGGACATGTGTAGGAGAGCTCACAGAAGGCACACATGTTGTTTGGAAATTCACTGGTCTTTGTTTTACTAGTTGTATATTCTGTTACTAAAGCATCGGGAACACTACATTTTCACTACATACATTCTTCTACAGGTTCTAAAGTATGTATTTTCTCTTGATGTATTTGCATATATATGCATGCATGTGCATGCATGTGCTGGCATCTAGGGGAAATAAATTTTTTCTCACTTTCACTTCATATTTCCAGTTACCTACATAATACTACATCAACACTAAATCAGATACGACTATAGGTATGAAGCATTCTTCCTCTATCTCTTTAATTGATGGTATTTCCACCTATTTTTTGTAAAGCTCCCAGACTTCAGTCTCTCTCCTTTCAACCTGATTATCCCTTCAATGAGATCTCTTTTCTTTGTTTCCACAGATGAATGAGAACATGAAGTATTTGCCTTTCTGTGCATGACTCATTTTACCCAACACCGTGTCTTCAGTTCTTGATGCTTTGATGTAGATGACAGGATTTCATCATATTTTAATGGCTGACTATATCTGTTGTGTGTCTGTATGACATTTTCTTCATCCATTCACCTACCCATGGACAACTTGGCTCCATTTCTCGGTCACTGTGAATTGTGCTGTAATAACCGTGAGAGTGCAGGGATCTCTTTTGTATCACGTTTTTATTTCATTAGATTTATGGGTAATAGTGTGATTACCAGGTTATGTGTTAGTCTTATTTTAGTTTTCTTGAGGTGTCATGTAGCTAAAATTTCTGAGGGTTGTAAACAGTGTCTGCCCCCTCTTACCTTGATCCCTGTGACAAAGCAAAGTAAGATTTTGCCCAACTATAGTCTGGGAAACCATTGAGTTTATTTGGCTTACTTACAGAGCAATGGTTGTAATGGGTGAGGGTTTAGTTACAGGAGTGTGGGTGCTCCCCCAGCCCTGAAGATCACACTGGAAAGTCTTCATCTAAGCATGGATGCTGTCTTCCTCATGCTTGCATAAAATGGTGAGAGACGCTCCCCCAGGTTTCCATGGTTTATATACCCTTAGCCCCTCCCCCTTGTGTAGCTAGGGTCATCTGGTTGATTGAGAGGGTCCCATGACCTCCCCTGCCCCTTCTTCCTGGCATAGCGTGACAGTCAAGAAGCTTAGCTATGATGATCCTAAACAGGCACAACCAAGCTTGGGAAAATGATGCCTGTACCTGGTCTGTCTGTCAGAAGACAGTCCTGTGCAGTGTCTCCGTACTGTATTCCACAGTGACTGCACTGATGTTCATGTTCATGGATAACGTGTAAGCGTTCTCCTTTCTATGTATCCTTGCCAATGTCTGTTTTTGTTGGTGGTGGTGTTGCTGCTGCGGTTTAATTGATGTTATTCTAACTAGGATTGACTAGTATTTCACTGTGGTTTTGATTTTCATTTTCTTGATGATTACTGATAATGGGCATTTGTTCAACACTTGATACTATTTGTATGTTGCCTTTTGGGAATATCTATTATTATCATTACCTAGCTTCAAATTGGATTATTTAGAGGTTTTGTTGTTGATTGTTTAAAGTCCTTCATATACTTGGACTATTAATTTCTTGTCATGTGAATAGTTCAGACACATTTTCTTCCATTCTGCAAGTTATTTCTTCACTCTGTCCATTGTTTCCTTTGCTGTGTAGAAACATCTTAGTCTATTTTTGCTTTTGTTGTTTAAGCTTTTGGGTTCAATCCAAAAGACTTCACCTAAACCAGGGTCTTGAAGCATTTTATTTTTTCTAATAGCTTCAGAGGTTTTGTTTTTGCATTAAGTCTTTGGTCTAGTTTTAGTTGATTTCCTTATATGGTAAGAAGTTTGGGTCTCATCCCAATCTTCTGCATTTGTGTATCCAATTCTCCATACTACATATAAAGAGACTACTCCTTCACTAATGTATGTTCTTGGTGCCTTTGTAAAACCTCACTTAGCTGCATGTGTGAGGATTAATTGTTTAGCTTTTCTTTTCTGTTCCATTTGACCACTCAGATTTTAACTTTTTTGTTGTGTGGTCTCTCCCTTTCCTCGTGGGTCATTGGCCACTGGTCCACGAGGACAAAGGGAGCAGAAGTGACGAACGGGGTCAGGACGGCCAGTGAGCACTGAGGAAAGAAAGCCCTTCCGGGGAGGCAGGCTGAGTGATACAAACAGCTCCAGATTCAGTGAAACAGCTCTGTTTATTCAGTGGGAGAACTAGGGAGAATATAGTGTGGAGGCAGTAGCCAATGCTTCAGCTGATAGGTGCTCATAGTATGCTTTATTTACATGTGGCAGTAGGATCCTATCATTCTACTACCGGGCAATGCCTAATTATCATATAGAAAAAACCTGGGGGTAGTTTTTACTCCAGGTAGAGTAACATAGTAAAAGAAAGTGACAAAAAGAAGAGAGAAAAATAACCCCACTTTCTTCATGTTATAATCATACTTTTCTTGGTTGCCAAAATCAGGTTTTCTCACTGAGTTGTGTTTTGTTTTGTTTTGTTTTGTTTTGTTTTGTTTAGACAGAATCTCCATGTAGCTCCAGTTGTCCTGAAACTCGCTATGTAGACCAGGTAGGCCTTGATCTCATAAAGATCTGCCTGCCTCTGCCTCCTGAATGCTGGAATTAAAAGTGTGTGCCACCACACCCATCTTACTAAACTGTTTAATGGCTTTTTTGTTGCTGTTGATTTTGCTTTTTTTTAGACAGGGTTTCCTTATAGCTTCAGCTAGCCTGGAACTCACTATGTAGACCAGGCTGGCCTTGAACTCACAGAGATCCACCTGCCTCTGCCTCCCAAGTGCTGGGATTAAAGGCATGCACTATGCCTAGTTTTACTAAATCATTCTTAAAACAAGGAAACCATGCTAGATTTGCTGGCATAGGCTGTAATCCCAGTAACTTCAGAGGCTGAGGCAGAAAAACCAGAAATTAAGAGCTAGACAGCGCTATAAAGAGAGTAAGGCCCACCTGGGCAACTTAGTTCCTATCTCAAAATAAAAAGTAAAAAGAAAACTGGGTTTCTATATACTGTAAGTTTTTTGTAAGCACTATTTTTTTGTATGTGCTTAGTGTATTTTATTTTTAAAAAAGACCAGTGATATAACTCAACATATAGCCTAGAATAAACAAGACTTAAATCTCTAGTTCTTCCAGGAGCAAGTTAAGTAGTAAAATAATGAAATAAAATGACAAAACAATTGTGGATATGACTAAATGTTCCATTCTAGGGCCCATTCACAGGACACTCAGTAGTCTCAAAGATTAAAGGCCAGAGCCTCAAGAAAATGTTAAAAGCACAATGCTTAGGACATAATGCTCATACATGTGAGCAGTACCCATGTATTCCTTTATACTCTCAACCTATGCACTTATTGTTTGGCTTGGATGCCCATCTTAAATGAAAATGGTTATACTGGAAGGGAACTGGGAACCTGCATTAAAGAAAGCCTGATATAAACAACTTTAAAAGAGGAAAGACTTGCTTAGTTTACAGTTTCAGAAGTGCCAGTCTCTTGCAGCAGGGAAGGCATGGTATGACAGCTTATACCACGGTGTACTTGAAACAGAGAAAGGGAAGTACAGGAGGAGTGCTATGTAAGATAGAGCCCCCAAGCAGGGGCTTCTAACCCCACTGACTGACTTCTAACATGGTCCCAGTTTTCACCACCTTATAATGATCCCACCGTATTTTGAATTCCCCAAGGAATCAATCCAGCAGTTAGATCAAAGCCCTTAGATCCAATCATTTCCTAAGCTCACCATTTTACCACCATGTCCCTGATGCTTATGGGCCTATGGAGGCATTTCATTTTCAACTGCAGCATAAATATATGAGCAGCTTCATGACATGAACATTCTGTTCATAGACAAGGACATTTCAGTCATTCATTGCTGGACCCCATACACTATAAGCACTGTTTTCATTTCCACTACATATTCAGCACCAAGTATAGATCATTCTTTGCATATAGTTGGCATGACATCCAAGGTTGTGGTCATCATTACCTATTCAGTCAAACCTCTAAGAGAAAGGCAATCAGTTATGTCTTGGCATATCAAGCACTGTGCATTTTGATGAGTGGATACAGTCGACACTGGTAGAAAGTACCTAAGCACAGTATGTGTGCATTTGTATTTTTGTCTTCCAAGGACACAGATGCAGCCCTTGCCCAGAAAATTGGAAGTGGCACGGGGACAAGTGCTACCAGTTCTATAAAGAAAGTAAAAACTGGCAGAGCTGTGAATACTTCTGCCTCGCAGAGAACGCCACCATGCTGAAGATAAGCTCACAGGAAGAGCTGGTAAGAGCCCAAGTCTCAGTGTTTGAAGGTCTCTCCAAAAAAGAGGCCTTGAAAGAGCAGGGAGGGGAAATTAAAAAGAGGTCAAGAACATTGGCCCGCAGATTTCCCAACTTGCTCCCACAAAGCCCAAGTCTTATTCCTATTGCTTTGAATGATTCTCTGAAACAGATAAAGGTCCTGTTCTCCACAAATACCTACCACATGTAAATATGAGCTAGCGTTCTTTTACTAAAGGAGCAAGTAGAAAAGGTTTAATTTCTTATCTGTTTTGGTTGAGGTAGAAAGACTGATATTGATACAATCTCATAAAAATGACAACAGTAGTTCCTGCCTTTCCAGTCTTTTAATTGATAATCAATGAGATGATTGCCATAATCTACAAACATATCTTGCCTTCCAGAAGACCAATCAAAGCAAATGTAAGAATAAAACTAAATTAACACAATCCGGAGTAAGTGTGATAATTACACTATTAAAATGGTGTGATTATCCCTCTTCTGTATTTATTATTGCCTTTGGATGGAATCTCTCCAAGTATAATGATTGCTTAGTGTTTCTCAGGAATTTAGCAGATGTCTTGGTGCAGTGCAGAGCACCAACAGCCAACAGTTATTTAATTAAATGTCAAGCTCACTACACAATTTTCTCAATTTCCTTCTAATTGCATATTAGTTTGTGCCACTTCCTGAAACCTGTATGAACCTTTGCAATACCTAGCTTTCACTAAAACATTTTTTATTCCTTTTGTGATTCAATTACGCTCAAATGGTTCAAATTAATTTTATTTTCAATATATGCAATGTGTGCATAAACCCTCCTAAATTTTCTTCTTTTGTCTCCAGTGCATGCAAAAGATCAAGGTATATTATTAAATTCAACCATGGGCAGTGGTAGGAAATTTTATAGTTAAAGCCTATATAGTTATTTTATCTCACGTATTTCCTACATCTGTATATATTTAAGTAATTTGATATGATTTATTTTTAGGGTTTTTCATTTGAAGTGACACTTGTTTAATTGGAAGCAATATTTTCAAATTCAGCCCTTTGCACAGGTTTACACTGTGATGATTGCTTTGCAACCGTCTCACTGACATTTCCAACAAACTCTTATTGAAGCGACCTGCACCATTAATTGTTCAAGGACTTAAAGAGATAACAATTGTTAAAAACAAAGCAATGGTGAAGAAGCAAGACATAAAATGGATAATTAAATATCTGCATCTAATTTCAATATTAAAAATATTAGGAATCTGTAATGAGAGTAGAAAGAGTGAAATAAATAAGTTCAGAATTTCTTTTTAAAATATTTTATTCATGCCGGGCATGGTGGTGCACGCCTGTAGTCCCAGCACTTGGGAGGCAGAGGCAGGCGAATCTCTGTGAGTTCACGGCCAGCCTGGTCTACATAGTGAGTTCCAGGACAGCTGGGGCTACAGGGAGACCTTGCTTCAAAAAGACAAAAAAAAAATTGTATTCATTCATACATATGTTAGATCAAATCCACTCCCCAATTTGGGGTCCCCTCCAACTCCTCCCTTACCCCTCCACCATTTCCCCTCCCAACTTCATGTTTTCTCTCTTTCTCTCTCTCTCTCTCTCTCTCTCTCTCTCTCTCTCTCTCTCTCTCTTCTTAAAAAATACTATTTGAGTCCACTTAGCGCTACCTGTATGTCCATGGGTGTGAAACCATCTATTGGAGCCTGGGTAGCCTCTCAGGGCCCACATCCCTGAAGAAAACTGACTTTCCCTTCCACAGCAGCTATCAATTGCCAACAGCTCTTCATAAAGGGGTGGGGCTTCAGGAGCCTCTCCTCAGTCCATCCTGGGATTTTGGCTTTCTTGGTCTTGTGTAAGTCTTGGGCATACATTCTTAGCCACTATGAGTGAATAATGTGCGCAACTTTGCTGCCATTTCCATCAAGTACTGTTTCGGTACAGATGTCTGCTTCTTCTGGCTTAACTAATCCTTCCACCTCCTCTTCCGCATGATCCCTGGGGCTTTGGGGGAGTAGCGAAATACAGATATCTCATTTAGAGCTCATTGTTCCACAGTCTCTTATGACTGATTGTAGGTCTCTATATTAACCACTATTGGCTGCAAAAAGAAGCTTTCCTGATGAGGGTTGAGAGATGCATTAATCTATGGGTATAAAGATAAGAACGTATGAGGCAGTTTATTACTATATTTAGCAGAAATTAATAGTACTAGGTTATCCTGTTAGGGGCTATGACCAATAGGTTTTGGTCCAGTTAATAGTACCAACCATGAGGTCCAACTTGTGCAATAAGAAGATAAGAACGTATGGGGCAGTATATTACTATATTTAGCAGAAATTAATAGTACTAAGTTATCCTGTTAGGGGCTATGACCAACAGGTTTTGGTCCAGTTAATAGTACCAACCATGAGGTCCAACTTGTGCAATAAGCTGTGTAATAGTCCCTTAGCATTTATGCCACCACTGCAGCAGTGGGCATATCTTGCCAGGCCAGCCATTATTGAAGTTTGCATGGTTAACAGCTAGGTAAGACCACTAATGACGTTTCCCCCTGAGTAGCACACATAGAATCATCTGGCATGATGAAAGCCAGCCAGTAGGGATGAAGCTTGCAGGTTGTTACCAGTCTTGATTTCTTCATGTTCTATGACTCAGGTATGTTGTGCCTTCGGCAATACGATCTTACCATCAAGCTCTGGAGGGTACCCAAGAGCAATGTGGTAATGTATACTGTTTTGTGAGTTGGTCTATGAGACCTCACTGACCAACAGCTTGAAAATAGGTAACTTATACCCAGCACTAGGCTTTTTGTTTAATAGCCTATGGTGTCTGGGGGAGGCATTGTCCCCCCCCAACCCCCCATTATAGGGTAAATCCATTTAAATCCTTTCTATATATACACGCTTGTATTTTAGGAAGTCTCTACAGTAGTAGGTCTCCACATGGCATTTTCAAAGAGTTTTCATGTTAATTATCCTTCCCCATGTTCTGCCGTCTACCCTGCTCCCATGTGCCCTCCCTTGTCACCCTCATACTTTCTGTATCCTACCCCCTTTCTTTGAAGTCCCCCTACCCCACCCTCATGATCCCTTACTAGTTTCCTATCATCTACAGATTTTCCAATTTAAACTCACATATCTAAGGACTGAAAGCTAGCATCCACATATAAGAGAGAACATACAGCATTTGCCTTTCTGGGTCTGGGTGACCTCATTCAAAATGATTATTTCTGGCAAGGGGTGCGGTGGCACAAGCCTTTAATCCCAGCCCTCCAGAGGCAGAGGCAGGCAGATTTCTGTGAGTTCAAGTCCAGTCTGGTCTATACAGTGAGTTCCAGGCCAGCTGGAGCTATAGGGAGACCTTGTCTCAAAAAACAAAAAAATAAAAAGATTATTTCCAGCTCCACTCATTTACCTATGAATTTCGTTTTTCTTTTCTTTTTGTAAAAGAGTTTATTTTTTGTTTGTTTATGCGTGTATTGCCTGCATGTATGTAAGTGCACCCGTGTCTTGCAGTGCCTGCAGAGGACAGAAGAGGGCATCAGATGTCTTGGAACTGGAGTTATGGAATGTTGTTAGCTGCCATGTGGGTACTGAGAATCAACCCAGGTCCTCTACAAGAGCAACCAGTTCTCTTAACCACTGAGCCATTTCTCCAGCCCCTCATTTTTCTTTATAGCTGAATAATGTTCTATTTCAATATTGGAAAAAGAATTGTCATATTAATATGTGGCTATATGTGTATACAAGATAGACATATATGCATATGGAAAGTTTTAAATTTTCCCTTTTTCTGAGTTTGAGGTATGAGTCATCTTTCTAAATCCTTCTTTTATGTCTTTGAAGTATCTTCATAATTGTGTCCTCCTTCATGATGTCATTTCCTGGTATTTATAGATGTTGCTTCTCCATTTCTTTACTTTTCCTTCCAAATTCTTCTATTTCTTAAACTAATTCCACTTCATTTTGTAAGTCTTTCTGCCATTTGAGTTTTTGTTTTAATTAATTTTTAATTAATTAATTAAATTTATTTTTATTTTTTTGTTCTTATTTTATGTGTATGAGTGTTATGCCTGCATGTCTATAAGTGCATCCGTGTCATGCAGTGCCCACAGAGGACAGAAGAGGATGTTGAAGTCACTGGAACTGGAGTTAAAGACAGTGGTTAGCTGCCATGTGGGGCTGAGATTTGAAGCTGGGTCTTCTGCAAGAACAGCCAGTACTCTTGATCACTAAACAATCTCCAGCCCCTAATTAATTAATTATTAATTTGAGAGAGACTGTCGTAGCCCAAGCTAGCCTTGAACTCCCTATGTAGCTGATATTGTTCTTGAACTTCTAATCTTCCTACCTCCACCCTTTGAATGCTTGGTTTATGTAGTGCTGGGGATAGAACACAGGGCTTGTGCATGCTAGATAAGCATTCTAGTAACTGAGCTACACCCTCAGATCCTCTTCGTATTTTTATATCAATTTGCGTTTAATTTTGTAGCTTAGAAATAATGGATAAGTATAAATACTGGTTGATGCGACTTTTGTTTTCAGAATATTAATATATATTACATTCTTAATAAGACAATGTACGCTATATATCCATAGATTCCATACTTACTGGACACATTTTGAAAGGGCCTTGTGGCAGGTGCCTGTCTCATTTAAATCTGCTATCATCTGGTGAAGATCACCTATGCAAGGGAGGTGTTGTCCTTGCCTGTTGTCCTACCAGAAGCACTGCTGATCCTACACAGCGCTGTGTGTGTATGCTGTAACATCTCAAAGCTAAAGGTTTTCTTGTGTGCCTTTCACAGGATTTTGCCATGCCTCAAAGCTACTCTGAGTTTTTCTACTCTTATTGGACAGGGCTCTCACGCAATGGCAGCGGCAAGGCCTGGCTGTGGATGGATGGGACACCTTACTCCTTTGAATTGTAAGCCTGCAGAACATTTTGTGGGAGAGGCATTTAATGAAGACAGCTCAGCGGTTTCATTGAACAGTAACAATAGGAGCATCTGTGTGTACTGGATAGTGTGTTTGCAGGAGGATGCCCAGTGGGAAACACAGAGCCTGTGTTGCGATGGCTTAGAAAGTGGCAAGGAAGACCCATATGGAGAGTAAGCAAAATATCAGGGGACAGTTCCCTGGCTGATTACAGCAGTGTGTGTCTAGAAATCATTTTTAGCAAAGAGGAGAAAAGATAGGGAGAAGGAAAGGGAGAGGAAATCTCTTTTGGATAAATACATACATAGAAGCCCAGGAGCCCAGGATGTAATAGTGGTTATCTAAGATGGTACAACTTGTCAATCGCCAGAGACAGGATAAGACCTCAGATTTCCTGGCTTTCTGTACAGTGAAATAGGAAGCACATCTTTATAAACACAGATGCTGAGAATAGATTTGTTCATAATACAAACATACTATGATAAAACAACAGTGGTATTTACTATGGAAGCATTTAGGTAAAGGTTACCGTGGAATTCTAAGAAACAGCTAAATGTAGTTTATGTGCCAAATTTTATTACTTCTAAAGCTGTATATGAACAGAATCTCTTCTTCTCTACATAGAGTGAAACATTTATTCTTCTAGGATACAGGACATAATAGTGTAGCTTTTTTTAAACTTTATTTTATTTATTTTGGTCTTTTTGACACAGGGTCTGCCCTTCGCCCCAGCTGGCCTGGCACTCGCTATGTAGACTAGGCTGACCTCAATCTCACAGAGATTCCCCTACCTCTGCCTCTCAAGGACTGGGACAAAAGGCGTGTAGCACCATGCCTGGGTGGCTGTTTGTGTTTTGAATTCAGTAAAGTGAATATTAGAAAAAGTAGAAAATTTTTAATTAGCAATAAAATCAGAACGTGTATCTTTGTTTTATTTAAAAACAGTATTTGATGTTTTAAGTGACCTGCTACTTCTAAGAATGAGATGGAAGCTGAGAGACTGAAAATAGAGTCCAGTGACCCCATCTTCCCAGTAAAGTCATGCTGGGTATATAGTTTTTGATTGTCACATTAGGAAGACTTTCTATGCTCCTTAGGGATACTTAATATGACATTGTTGAAATAAACTATGATTAAATAAACTTCTTTCTTCTTTATAAGGTTTGAGATTATAATAGATCCCACCAACATAAGAAACAGGGACTGTATGACTATCTTCAATGGGAAAGCTTACTCGAAGGACTGCAAAGAGCTGAGGAGGTGTGCCTGTGAGAGGATGGCTGGAAGAGTGGTACCTGAGCAGCTCTACTAGGTGCCCTGAAGCATCAGCCAGTCATGAAACTTCCACTATCAGAGTCAAGAGAGGCCAGTGCAAGGGACAACCAAAGCCGTGGGAAACAGAGCAACTAAGGGAGGCAGTCGTTGGGACTACTGCTGGAGAAGGCCTCCTGTTTTCCTTCCCAGGATCATCCATTTCTAAGCTTCGGTTTGTGCACGTAGTTTCCAGTCACAAGAAGTCTTATTCATGGACCATCAACCTGCTCCAGAAAGCCATGAAGCTGCCTTTGACTTACAGATAACTTTCCAGCTTTCTTCTATCTCATCATCTGTTACCATCCTCTGCTTCCACATACATGGAAAGTGAGACACTTACAGAAATAGAGGGATGAACAGGAAGCAGCTGGCAGGGTGTGGTGATGTATACCTACAACCTCAGCACTCAGGAGGTAGAGGCAAAAGGATCAAGAGTTCCAGGCCTGCTTCAGCTACATGGCAAGTTGGAGGCCAACCTGTGCTGTACGAAAGCAAGAGAAGAGGAGGAGGACAGGACAAAAAGGATGTGACATCCTTGTCCCAACAGTCAGAAAGTCCACGAGAAACCAGCAGACATTCTCAAGCCTTGACTGCTGTGTACATGACTAATTCTTTTTATTTGTTTCCAGTTAACACTTTTCCTTTCCCAAGCTCTCAATGACTTCATATACTAAGCCCGGGCCAGCTTCCCAACCACGATTAATTATCATTGCTCTTAATTTTTATACCTCACAATCCCCATTCCAGCAATTGTGTCTTTTCCCTAATCATTTCTCCCAGGAAAGAGAAATTCTCACCTCTGATCTAAGTCAGAGTTACTGACCCTGTAGTCCATTCAGGGAGACTGAAGCACAGAAAAAAAAAAAAAAAAAAAAAAAAAGTCTCTTTACACGCACAAATGATAGTTTCATTTCAGTCTTCCTTGGTCCTATTTGATCCATGTTTATACCTTTCAGGTACTAAAGATTTAATAATAGTAAGTGTAAATAATGTAAAGTATGTGTGGCTTTAGACTATTTTGTGATTTAGGAAAAAATTCAGCAAAGGAATGCTTTTTGCAATGTGTTAACAATCACTGTTTTGATTGCTTTGGCCTTGACGATTAGGAGGGACACTGTGAACATATTGCTTAAGGGATTGCTTAGGAAAAAGTAAGTCTTTGAAATGCATATTGTCCTCAAGGGGATGGTTTTAACACTTTTCTATAATGAAATGTTTTGAGGCAGTTATGACATTAATGCATAGTTACAAGGCATGGTAGACCACATGGTCACTAAACAGGCTGTAGACCATGAAATCTCAAGACTAGACTCATTTGTTGAGGTGACAGTACAAACAACTGTAACAGAATCTTCTCAAAGGACACTATCATAACTGACTTCACTGGCTTGAGAACAACCAAATTTGGGACTTCAGCACTGGAAGTTGTCAGCTTTTACAGACATTATTTTTCAACAGTGAAAACTTGGATGCTCTAAATTATTTTCAGGAAACAAAAATTTCATGGTGAAATTATATTAAATTAGCAATTTTATGATGGAAAAACAATTTGTGTTTATTTTTATAGGACTTAATTTGATAACTGTCATTTACCTAAACATTACTGGCAGATTACTCCTTAAGAATTCTTCTAATTTTCTTCTGACTAGCTAGATATATTCAACAATTCACTTTACTTAATTAAAAATGAAGTGGAAATATTTATAATTTCCCTGTGCTATTACAGTTGATTAAAGTGAAATAAGTGTGAAATTAGTTTCAAAATCTAAGTTGTAATATAAATGTAAGGGAAATTAAGAGAATAAAAGGATTTGGCAGTTTGTATTTAAACAGAATGGAGCATGAACACATAGAATCTGTATTCATTAAGAAATTAATCAGGGTAAATATTCTCAAATATTTTCTATAATTAGTGAAATAATGAATGATAAATATTTTCTATGCTCAATGAAAGTGATTAATATATCTGCAAATAAGATATAAAGGTTAAGTCTGTTGTTAAGCAATTGCTGTTTAAACTTTATTACTGCAGGCAGAAACTGTTGTTAGCAAGAGAAAGTCATTCATGTTGTACAATTAATTGTAAATGGGGCCATGGCACTTATTTAGGTTTAGATTCCTGGCATCCTATGGTCAGGGAGGGATGACAGTGTTTCCATGGATTGGAAGTGAGGAACATTCTCCTTTGAAATCTGAGACTTCAAAAAAAGTCTCATTTTAGATGGAGAAGAAGGAAAAAATAGCATTCATTTGATTTCTTCTCTTTTCTTCAAATTATTCCTCTTCGTCTTTGCCCTTAGCCCCCATGTCTGTGGACCAAAACTCATAACATTCTCATTAGAGACAAATATTTCAAAATAATAGAAAAAGTGGCATGGTACATTATCCCCACAAGCATTTACCAAACTAACCATGAAATGAATTTGGAAATTGCAAAGAGCAGGTTTAGCCAAGAATCAGAAGTGGGATCTGCATGAATTGATTTTTCTAGCCTGTTACCCATGAAGGTAATTCTGAAGACGCTGCAGGAACAGTCAAACAAGGGACCCAGCCTTTCCTGGTAAAGTTCCCTCAGGGACACAATGAGCTATTTCTTTTCCTGAGGATATTGAACCACTCTCAGGACTTATCAACAGGAAACAGGTCATGAGCAGTAACAGCAGGAAGTTCGAGAAGGGTGACGGCAGCTTTTACTTGGGAAATGCAAACAGATTACGAATTAAGCACAAGGGTTCAGTGGGTTGTCCAGGGCCAGCCTTCATGTTTGGGAATCAAGTGCAGTTTTCTTTTGCTTTGTTTGAGAATTTCATATATGAATAGTGTCTTTGCATTATTTTTATCGCTCCTAGTCCCCCAGCAATTCTTTCCAAGTCCCCCCACTCCCTCTCAATTTCTTGTCCTCTTATTATTATTGTTACATATGCACATATACATTTATAAATTACAAATATAATGTACTGAGACCAGTTAGTGGTATCTGTGTGTAGGGCTGCCCACTTGGGATTAGATAACCTCTTATGGAGCTAATCCTTAGAGAAAACTAATGCTCCCTCCCTCCGCAGCCATTGGTTTCCTGGAGCTCTTCATCTTGAAATGGGCCCCCATGAAACTTCCCCAGCTCACCTTGGCATGTCAACTGATTTTGTCATTATGCAGAGCTTGTTAGACTACCATGCTGGGGAGGTTTCCCTGGTGCAGCTTCCCTATCCTGTCTAGAATGCATTAAATGGTAGCATTGCTGTTACTACCCTCTGACATTTACATTCAAGTGCAGTTTCTGAAAGAAAAATAGCATGTTCTCAGACATAATATGAATAGATCTTCAAACTCTAATAATAAACTATTATTATTTCATCCATACAGTATTGTTATTATTCTACTAAAACATGATACATTAGCAATACAGAATATAACAATGTGCTTAGTTTTGCACATCTGTGTGTAATACCATGTAGCACAGCTTGTTTACATTTGCAGAGGGATTATTATTGTTTTCTCTTTTGAAAGTTCACTCAGAACTCAATGAGATGGATTAAAAAGACTCAATTTATCATTGATAGGATTAGTATATGAAACAGGTCCTCTCAGGGGTTTATTCTGGACCAGAAGCCAACCATCATGGAAAACTCCTCAAGCAAGCCCAGGCATCTGTGTGGAAGCTGAGTGGCTGCCTGGGACATTCATAGGTACTTGTGTCAGCCACACTGTAGATAAAACTCTGACTTGTAAATAGTTTCAGACAAGGGTTGGATAACATCAGTGTGCGAGGATGTTTGTGTTTGGCATCATTGTACTTTTTCTCAGAAGAACTGCAAATGCTTCCTATATTTAAACATAGTGCTATGACAATCCTTTGAAGAATCTTAAAGACAAACAGTCTTTACTCCTGAAAATCACCACCGTTCCTCCCTTTTCCAGATTTTTATTTAGCCTCCAGCTGTCATCTGTGAAAACCAAACACAGCACACAACTTCTGCGGTCTTTGGGTTATTCTCCCAGAATCAGCAGAAAACTAGAGAAATTTCTTTTTCCTTTTTCAATTCTGTGTCAAAGGTAAGTACCAAAAACCAAAACAAAGACATGATATGATTATTACCAGACCTTAGCCACTGAGAAAAGACATTCAGGTAAAAGGATGTTTAGTTTCATTTAAGTAATTTCTGCTGCCTCAGTAAATTTAGGTTTTATTTTTACCTTACTTATTTAAGTTGTGCCTTTTTAAAAATTATTTTATTTATTATTTTTATTTTGTGTGTATGCGTGTAATCGCCTGCTTGTAGGTAAGTGCACCCGTGTCATTCAGTGCCTGCAGAGGACAGAAGAGACTGTCAGATCCCCTGGGACAGTAGTTATGGACAGTTGTTAGCGGCCATGTGGGTCCTGGGATTCGAATCTGGTCTTCTGCAGGAATAGTCAGTGTTCTTAACCACTGAGACATCTCTCCAGCCCCT